GACAGTGACGGAAACTCTATGAACATCCTTGTTGTTTTGGTATTTCCAAGATTTTCAGCGGACTATAGCGGACCTTTTTTATGTTGCGGGGTCATTGCAAAGGTGGAGTCCCATGGCATCTCGATGTGACCGATGCCCTGAGCCAGACTCCTATCTTATTTGTGTCCGGCAAGTGCGACAGGACAAACTGCATTGAACATTGCAGACAGGGACCATTCATTTCCATTCATGGCGACCCCATGCAATGATACAATATCTTTTTCTGTTTGTGTGTGGGGGGTGGCACACAGGACCGCTACAGTGTATACTACTCGCATGGCGCAGGACGGGCGTCATTTTTTTTCTCCTTTCACAAGCTTGACAGAATGGCTGTTTATCAGCCATTCCTCAACTCAAAATCGTATCGGAAGCATTGACTTCGGAAGCGTTGACGTTTGAGCAATCCATTTATATACTTGGAATGTTGTAATAAACGTCAAAGCCTGGTGAAACGTGTCGTATCTGCCCTGGTGGCGGCTTCGATCCGCTTTGATCATGCATTTCGAATTACATTGCAACGCTCCTTTTCAGACCCTGTCATTTTTTCCCGCTGCTTTTGCAAAGGCGTATGCAGCATATGGCTTTCTTTTGATTTTCAGTGTAGCCTTTAGGAGCGTCTCCTGGAACTTGGGGCCCAGCAGCTCCGATACCTGGAGCTCCCTGACCTGAACCACGAGATATCCCCGAAGGCAACAGATGGCAACAGATCAAAACGGCAACTGATTCAAGTGGACTCCAAGTGGACTCCGACTGGACAATGTCTCATTTTTCAAGAGTCTTCACTTGGACCATGATATTCACCTCATGTTCAAACACGTTGAAGCTGCTTCATTTTTGCAATCCTTTGGAATTGGAGGTGGTTGAACTCGTGGCAGACTTCCTTTGGGCGGCCCTTCCGCAGTCTAAGGCGTCGCAGAGGAAACAGTATGAAACAGTAGTAGGTAGTCTGTCAAAGATCCTGCGCAGTATTCTGGCCGCAACACGCGCTGCAACATCAATCAGCGCTTTTGTCTTCCATCTTCACTGCTTCAGTGAAAACAAATCGCTGGCAGGATCAAAGCATCCGGATTCCTGATGGCATGAAGGAGGGAACGTTTTGGCCACCAGTTGGAGTCGCAAACAGTTTCCTTGACTTAGCCAATCAATGCTGAAAGAGAACCTGTTTTGCAAGAGGCAAGTTTGAGACTCATTTGCAGGTGAGCCTGTACTCCGCGGGATATGAAGCAAGGACAGGTGCTATCGCAGCTCGAATGTGCATTAGATAAAAACGCTAGATGAGGCACTTTTTTTCGATTGCAGATTGTCTCTTGTGCCTGATCATTTCTCGGATTTCTGGTGCGATGTGAGAGAGGGTGTGCCTGATCATTTAGTCTGAACATGCAGAGATTCACCCAAACTTTCGAGAGATTCTCGCTTGCAGTTTGCAAGGATGGCTTTGTGCAGAGCGAAGATAAGTATTGGGTCCAGAACCTTGACGTCAAAGGGCCTAACTGAGTTAGTTTCACAGATAGATCGGCAAGAAAATACAGAGGGAACTATATACACAAAATGACTTTCCAACGTAAAACAATGTAAACACACATGGAAATGAATTGGAAATGGTATGCATTCGGAATGTGTTCGGGTATTTCAGGATGGATGGACCAGACGGACATCGGGAGCTGATTGAGTCAGGAGCCTTCACGCAACAACTGCACACAACTCTTGCAGGCGCATCTCTAAGCGACAGAGCCAGAGAGCTAGAGAGCCGCACTTTTTCGACGGGGACCCGATGTGTGCGTGTGATGGTTTTGATATGTTTTGATCCGCCTTGGTTGCAGCTACTGTTGCCGTTCCAGGGCAAAGTGCTATTCTCGTGGGCAAGCGCTTGGCAGATGATGGTTGTATTGAGTCTCTTTCGGTGGCCGTGTCAGAGCGCGGGGCTTGGATGTGGAAGCTGTGCTTGCAATAGCAGGCATGGTAAGATGTGCCTGCTCCACTCCCCAAGATGTGCCTTGTTCATCCTTGTTCACTCCCGAGGCCCAGTGCTGAAGTGCTCGAGACGAAGCAGATAGCACCGCACAGGCTGGGAATCAATATCTTCAACTGAGAGCAATTTGAGTTGCACAACTGACGGTGGTGGGGGGTTCTCTTCTCAAATGTGTAATACATTCAATTTTGAGCAGCTATCAGCTATCAGCTATCCGGATGAAAGGACCAATCTGCAATCTCCACCATCATGTGGTAGATTGAAGTGTGTATTGAATTGATTATATATATACATATTGATTCCAGTGCAAATCCCGTTATGCGGCATGCCGGCATTGCATGTCCAACATTTTCAGGGTGCAGCTTCCCGTTGGGGCTGTGCTACAGCTGGGTGGGATGAAGAAATGACCTTGCCTCAGTACCGTAGCTTTAATATGCTTGAAATATGTTGAAATCCATGGGATTTGTCAATGCCCATGATTTTCAAAGCGCCAAGGTGCCAAGCGCCTGCAATGTTTGGATGGGCGCCGTGTGCGCCTGCGACAGGTGCTGCAGGATGGCCGATATGCAGTTGATCCTTGGTGAGCCACGGTGAGTCCGTCATAGCAAGTGATTTGTTCACAATTTTGCACCTCACGTTATCGCTGTATCACCACGGTCACCATTTCCATTCACAGGAACACCATGTATAGAGATAGATAAAGTATATGTTAAAGTTAAATTTAGGCACATAACATATTAACATATTAACATATAATATGATATAGTATATGTAATATATGTAATATGTACATGTGCAACCGGGTGGTGGCAATGCTTTAAGGAAGTGCAAGGAGAGGAGGCCTTGGTTCGAGTGCATCCGCGGCATTTGGTGCCATAGAGGTCACGCAGAAAGGGTGCACCAAAAAGAGCGCGAAGAGATGCGAAGGACAGAAACTGAAACACCAAGAAACACAAAGAAAAAAAACAAAAAGAAACCAGAAAGAAACCAGACAATGCTTATAATGCTTGCATTATCTTGCATTCACAGCTATTTCATGGCTTCATATGGCTTCATGTCATGCTCCCTCTTTGAACATCTTTAAACCGCTGACTGAAGCGCTTGTATTTCTTGCCGTTTCTTGGCTTCAGAACATGTACAGAACCACATAGTAGACTCAGTAGACCACCTAAAAGTCAACATCTCAATTGATTGCAACAGTGAGTCGCGCAGTTGTGTTACTTGTACGGAGTACTGAACTACGAAAGTCGGCACATCAATCAAGAGTAGTTTAATGGCGCTAATGTTTCCCAGTGTATGATGATGCATGGGCATGGGCTCGGGAAAGCTATTTGTCACTCCGAAAAGCATGAATAAATACTACATCTAGACTACTTTATCATGCGCATGAACTGCTGCTGAGACCCAACCCGAAATCACTTTAGAAATTTCTGAGCACCGCTCAAAGCCACCTTCTGACATTCAGGAAATACAGCTGTAGTGATGCAAAGAAAAAACATATTCCAGCCTTGATTTGATTTGGGTGGCCCTTCTGCGCTGCTAGTATTTGTTCGGGCACTTTGAACATGCTTCACAAGATTTGTCAACAAGTGTTTTGGCTTCCCTCAATTCGATTATCATGGTTTGTTGGAAACCATTTCATCCGCATTCTCAATCGTTTTCCATCCTTTTGTGCGTTTTAAGGCTACAGTGACAGTGAATTTCCTTCTTTGAACAATAAAGGATGGAGAGCATCCTGTGCATGAGCTCTCCAGCAATGGGCAGTGCCATGGACACGCACCAACTTTGGCCATGTTGGCCATGTGGACCCGGTAACCGGGGCAACCACTGATGTGAATGACGTGGTCACACGCCTGGGGTGACGGCAATGAACGTTCTGAGCTCTTACAAAATGGGCCGCTGCATTTCTCGAGGCCATGCCTCGCGGGTCAACGATACTTGCCAAAGCCGAAGCAAATCCCAACGTGTAGGGATGGGCCACGATGGGCTCAGTTGTAGGATCAGTGCATGTGCATACAATATTTGGCCAGATGTTGCACATGTGCAAGCGTGTGTAGGTCAGAAGGCTCGGGGGGCAAGAGTTGGATTTGGCATGTGTTTGGGACTTTGCCCGGAAACCTCTACCTCTACCTGGATGAACTTGTGCGATGAACTGGTGCAGGGTCATTGTTGAGTTTGTCGAATTTTGCCCTTCTGTTTTTCTTGTTTCCGTTGCTGTTGATGGTTGTGGGATGATGTGGGATGATGTGGGATGGTGGCGGCGATGGCAGCAGCATTGCTTTTGTGGTTCAGCATATTTGGCCGTCAAAGTCGAGTCCATGTGACATGTCTGACATGTGACAACATGAACTAAGGAAGCCACGTACATGGAGACCTGTGGCCTGTTTGCACTTATCGCTGTGCGTATTGCAGGCCTCTTTCGCAAACGATACTTTTCTGTCCAAAGCTCTCCGTTTTGGCTTTGGTTCACTCAAGTCATGGAATCCTTATTTGGCAAACCCTTGCCTATCTCGCCTCATACCCTTTCAAGAGCTATGCAGTCCAAGGTGCGGTAGTTGCCATAAAGCGTGCGCCTTGCTGGCAACGCAGGCTTTCGTCACTTTAGCTCCCATCATCATCTCCTTAGGATGTACTGTGATGTACTGTGGAAAGAGAGCAAAAGTGCAACGATGGGTACCCAGTGTGCCAGTGCAGCCACCAAACTGCAGGACCTCGGTTTTGTGAAGTGAACTGGTTTTGTTATCTCTTGTTCATTCTCTTGTTCATTCGTCGTGTTCACAATTGAATACAATTGAGGCCTCAAGGCCAATGGCTGTTTTTGTGTGCCACTACGAGGTCACTCATGACTTGGATGATCGATTGCAGAAGGAGTGCGAAACTGAAATCACTATCCTCCAGATGTTGGACCATCCGAATCTGTGGCTTGGCTCTTGCGTGTTTGCGTTGAAACTGGTCAGAAAAACACGAATATGTCAACTCAAACCTTTGTCCCTGTTTTTTCTTCCCTCTCTCTCCCTCTCACACATATGTATATAATATATATATATACACACTGTATATAGATTAGTTATGGATGCATGCATGCATATATACATGCATATGACCATTTGCCAAAAATAGTTGACGGAAGTGTTGTATATACTCGTTGTTGATTATAGTCAGTGTGGACCTTCTGTTTTTTCCTCTTCATTATGAGGCGGCACGCAACAAAGTTCACCAATTCTGCAAGGCAGCGCTAGCAAACCCGCTAGGTTTGCGCTAGTTTTTTTTCCTCACACCCATGTTCAAGGATATATTTTTTATAGACTTTCTGGTAGAAGTTTAGGCTGAACATCGTACCTGACTCTCTGCGATATTTATCTCAAAGTCCAATTTCTTTTAGGGTGTAGATGCCCCCACCCATTTGTCCGAAGTGTCGCCATTCCGCAGCGCTTGAGGGGGATCTTTGGTGTGCAGGCTGCACAGGCTGGGAGGCAGCCGGTCGTGAGCTTTGCGCTCATTGGGATATCCCTGGTGCTAAGGTTTTAGCAAACGATCTGATCTTGAACATTGGAAGGCAGATTAGAGCCTTGAGATCCCTAAGCGCAGGTGTTGCTGTGGGTGGGGGCTTGTCTGGTTCAGCTGGTGCGAGCCGAGCTAGATCAGTAAGGCCAGGTTCAGAAAGAGCCGAAACTCCTGGTAGGGCAGCTGACAGAAGTCGTGAATCCCTGCCTCGTCGGCGGCCTGAACTTCCTACACCTCCTCCTCCTCCAGCACCTAATAAGGAGGAACCAACAGAAGAGGCTTCAGGTGATTGGGAAGCGAAATCACCAACGCCTGCACCGCTTGGCAGAGGACCCCAATACCCGAGTTCATCGAAAAGCTGGACCTGGTTTGTTGGAACTTTCATCAGTGGCACAAGGACGACAGGCCTTGGACAGGTCTGGGTAAGCAATGGCGTCTTTCGGCGGCGAAGGAGCCGAGATCTCGCCAGAAGATCGGGTGCAATGGGCCGCATTGTCACCAGTCAGAGGACAAGTTTTGGAAGTTTTCCTGCCCGAGACAGACACTCACGATCCTCCGTTTGCTTGGGCAGCATTTTTGATTGGAAGGGTTTCTACAAGGTTGGATGGTTCCATTGTTCTGGAGTGCCGCCATTTGGGCGCCGAAGACACTCCCTATTCTCAGGTTTTGGACGGGCAGTTCAACGATGCTCGACGCCGCATTCATTTATGTTTGACAAGACCATGTCTCATGACCGAAGAGAAGGACGATGCAGACACTCCTTTCATGCATGTGACCCGGATCCGGCTATGGAGCTGGGACAGGTTCATCTCAGTTCAGGAGTATGTAGCCGCAAGCAGTTTAGACGCTGGTGTAGATTGGTTGAAAGCGACAGAAGCAGTGATGCCAAGCACACCTGGGCGCCGCTCCAGAAATCCTCCCAAAGAGAAAGAGAAACCTATTGGGAGAAAGAAAGGGACCAAGACACCAAAGGCGAAAGAGGGGCCCAGAAAGCGAGAGCATGCCGCAGAAGAAGAGGAGCCGGAGACATCTGGCAAAGGAGGAAAGCCGAAGAAGAAGGAAGAGGAGAAGGCAACCAGAGAAGAGCTACGGAGCCGCCTCAAAGCAGTTCGAGAGCGATTGCAAGATCCTGGCACCATACGGGCCGAAGATGGCTACAGCCCGGGGACCCCTGTCGCAGAGGATGTCAGCAGTGGGTCAGAGGACGAAGGTTCGTCTTGTGCTCCGGAGAAACGCCTGACAACAGGGGCAAATCTGGGAGAGGGTGCAGGCGCGCTGGCCAAGGCCGTAGCCCGCAAAGGTCACCCTCGTTCCAGCCATCGACATCATCGAGACGCTCTGCCACTGGAGGATACAAAAGATTCCACTTTGAAAGGCTTGAGCGGCCAATTGTTGAAACAGGCCTTAGCAGCGAAGACTCAGAGGGCAGCCGAGAAGAAGAGGAAAAAGAAGAAGCAGTCGAAGAAGACGGATATGGAGAACCTCACTGCAGCATTAGCCAAAGTGTTTGGAAGGACACCGGGGGGGGAGCAGAAAGAGAAGAAAGGGAAGAAGAAGACCTCCAAGAAGAAGAGGAAATTACAGGATGGAACGATCGTGAGCTGCAGTTCCAACTCCAGCTCCTACAGCGACGAGGTCTCCGAGGCAGTGTCAAGCGACGAAGACTTAGAGGCCCCATTGCGAAAGAAGTCAAGGGACCATCCAGGGTCCGTCCTCAGGATGCTTGTCAGCCACATACAGGAACAGTTGGATCAGAGCGCTTTGACCGAGCTGGGGCACCCGAGCTCGACCATGACCAGCGGCGTGAAGGTGATGACATATTTCAACTTGCACGTGAAGAGCAGCTATCCGCATCAATTGCGGGAGATGCGAGAACTTCATCATCTGGCCGCCTGTTTGGACTTGGTCAGAAAAGGAGACTTAGCCAGGGCAGCCGACGGATTGGCGGCGAGATTCATCGCCATACATCAAAGCTTCGTAGATGGCTCGTGATGCTCGTGGCAGATGGCCAAGCACCTCGAGCTCTTTCCTTTGGAGGAGGCCAGCGCAGCAGGGGCAGCGGCCTTGCTGGCCACCCGAAAACACGCTCGGCTCATCTCCAAGGTTCAAGGCCCTCCTCCCAGCGCTTGGACTCCGAGTGCCGGCCGTGGCCGAGGGGGGAAGGGGCGCAGCGATTGGAACTCTGGAGATGGGCGGGGCGATTACAAAGGAGAGAACAAAGGAAAAGGCAAAGGAAAGAAAGGAGGCCGAGGAAAATGGGATCAGAGGCCAGGATGGGAGGCGTCCAGGACAAAAGAATGGGAGAAGAACAAGGAAAAGACCGAAGAGAAACCCAAGGGCTAGTTTTGCCTTCGCTGGTACAAGCCGTGGCTGAAGGTTCTTCGCTGGTCAAGGCCGTTGCGGAGATTTCTCCTTTGGAGCCCTCTGCCATCGCTGCCAACGCGGGGTACCCGCGGTTGGACAGTGTTGTGTCAGAAACGAACCCGACTCCTTTGGAGCCCTCTGCCATCGCTGCCAACGCGGGGTACCCGCGGTTGGACAGTGTTGTGTCAGAAACGAACCCGACTAATCAGCCCTTGAGCTTTTTGTCAGTCCTGCAGCTGTGTGACACATTGGAACGCACAGGATGTGTCCTGGCCTGGACCTTACTGCATGTTGGGCATCGCGAGGACGGTGTGAAGAATTCATCACTCTGGTCGGTGCTATTTAACTCCAGCGAGAGGTTTCGAGCCGGGCGGAAACGTTTGGCTCTGCCTATTCGAGAGGGTGAGTTAGCCGGGCTTAGAGACAAACTGCTCAAGATTTCTCTGCTCGAAGCAGCGGGAGAAGATTTTGCAAAGAAACATGCTGGGGATTGCTGGACATACCTTGCGTGCTACGCTTGCAATACTCTGGTCGGGAGGCAGAAACTACTGGAACAAGGTAGATGGATCAAAGCAGAAGCGAGCGCCTTTCAGACCGTGCACCAGATGACCGACCGGTTGTTGGGGCATGGGACGCAAGAGCCAGTGACCCTAGATGCAATCGAAAAAGATGTCAAGCTTGCCAGGGTCAACTACAAGGGAGAAGAGATTGGTGTTTGTCATAAACTTACTTTAAGACAAATTGAACCTGCACTTCCCCCCCAAGAACATGGTGGATGCATTGACTTGTTGAAGTGGGTGTCGCCTGTGACAGGTAGGTTTTTGAGGGAGCCTGAACTTTGTATTTTGCCGGATAAGGGTCAGAAATTGCCTAAGTTGCAAGGGCGTATACATGTGGAAACAGGGGAGCTTGATGGAATCACACGTGTTCTGGTGAATCGTGGCGTTTGTGACTGGACACCGTTGGATCAAGTGCTGCATTTTCGGGGCGAACCAGTGTTGAATGGTCTTTTTGGAGTCCCAGAAACATCAACCATTGACAGTGGTGAACCCATCCTTCGTGTTATCATGAATTTGGTCCCTTCTAACTCTGTTATGTTGCAATTGGAAGGAGCAGTGAAAAATTTACCCAGCATTACTAGCTGGATGTCTGTAGTGACTGAAGGAAAAGAAGAAGTACGCATTTGGCAATCGGACATGTGTAATGCGTTCTATCTTTTTGCTTTGCCTCACCAATGGCGTCGTTGTTTATCTTTCAACATTTTGAGATGGGGAAACGAGATCGGAAAAGATCCTGCGGTACGATATGCCTTGAGTTGTTGTGTGTTACCGATGGGATGGCTGTCATCGGTCGCAATCATGCAAGAAGTCAGCGAACAAATCTTGTTGCAAGGGTCTTTGAGTGAAGCTGAACAGGTGGTACGGAATCGAGCTGTCCCTCTCTGGATGGTAGGACTGTTAAAAGAGGCAAAGCGGCAGAATCGATCGTGGTGGCATGTCTATTTAGACAACTACGCTGGGGGTCAGATTGTGGACAAAGGAGAAGAGACGATTGGGGGAGAACGTTTGCATGAACTAGCAGAGACCGCTTGGCAGAAAGCCCAAGTGGTATCTTCAGAGAAAAAGCGGAAAAGGGGTGTTGTTGAAGCGGAAGAACTTGGAGCACTTGTCAGCGGAGCAACAAATACTATAGGTGGATCTCCCAACCGCCTGCTGCGGGTGATACAAGCTACTTTGTGGGTTTTGAGCCGCACCCACTTGTCTAAGAAACATGTTCAAGTGATAGCAGGGCGTTGGATCCACATACTACAGTTTAGACGACCTGGTATGTCCTTCCTTGAAGCGACTTGGGAATATGTGGGGAGCAAAAAGTTTGATTTGGGTCTGGTGCTCAGAGTGCATCGTGAATTGTGGGCCATAGTATGTGCAACACCTTTCTTTCAAACGAATTTGGGAGCCACTGTCAGCCAAGTCACTACAGCCTCAGATGCTTCAAACACGGGAGGAGCAGTTGGGATTGCGTATGAGTTGTCATCAGAGGGACAAGACTTTGTAGCCGCCAGTAAATCAGGAATGGATGCTCAAGCAACTGCTTCCATTTTGGTGGTGTCACTGTTTCATGGTATCGGCGGAAGTTTCCGCTGTTACGATATATTGGGAATAAGACCTATGGGAATGGTAAGCTTCGAAATTCATGGGCCAGCCAACAGGGTCAGCAGCAGGCGCTGGCCACAAGCATTACAATATGGAGACGTCAGAACGCTGGATGAAGTAATGGTGCGCTCATGGCTCTTGAAATTTGTAGGAATCACTGAAATACATCTCTGGTCAGGTTTTCCATGAACTGACTTGACATCAGTGAAAGCGTTTCGGCAGGGCTTGCAGGGAGAACAATCCAAGCTTTTCTTTGAGATGCCTCGTATTCTAAAACTCTTGAGGAAAGTAGCTGGAGGTAACTTTGTAGTCAAATTTGTGGGTGAGAACGTAGCGTCCATGGGCAAGCCCGAATGTGAACAAATTTCTGAAGAACTGGAGACCTGGCCCTACCACCTCAATTGCGCTGATGCAGTTCCAATGAATCGCCCACGTCTTTGCTGGTGCAGCGAAGAGTTGGAAGGTGCATTAGAGGGGTTAGAATTTGAGCCTGACACTTTTTGGACTAAGCTCATAGCAAAAGCACCGTACCCGGAGATGGAACAGTGGATTGAGCCAGGAGTGTACTGGCCTGGAGGTACACAGGGAGAAGTTCTCCCCACTGCCATGCGTGCAATCATTAGGTCAAAGCCGCCACGACGAGATGGCAAAGCGAGCATTTCAAGTTTCCTCCATATCATTATCAAGATCGCTTTGTGTTTTGGAAGGGTGAGAAGTGGAGACTGGCAGATAGCGATGAGCGTGAACTTCTCTTGGGATATGGATACAAGCATACTTCTTTCTGTTTTAGCGCTAGCAAGCAGAAACAGTCTTTAGCAGCATATGAAAATGCCAGGTTGTCACTCTTGGGGGACTGTTTCAGTGTGTACTCATTTGTAATCGCAGCCGCTGCTTTGTGCAAGAAGTTCATCCCAAGCTTGAGTTATCAACATTTGTGCTTGCGTATGGGGATGGCACCGGGTTACAGAGCCTCCTGGAGATTGAAAACACCACTTGGGCGTAGCTTGCAATATGGGTTTTCACATTTCAATTTGTCTTCCCCTCTGCATGAGTTGAATCGGGTGCTTTTGACACGGGTCAACCATACAGGCTCGGACATCAGAATAACCACAGGGGATATCATTAACCCTAAAGCGTTCCCAAGACAGAGTGTGGAGGCATCATGGTGGCAGTGGCAACATTGTTTCAAACTGAAATGGAAGCACACAGAACACATAAATGCGTTGGAGTTGCGATCTATTCAGCAAGCTGTCCTCTTTTCGATTTCTAATTTAAAGCTGTGCAATGTAAGACTTTTTCATATAACTGACTCATATGTTTGCATGTCGGTGGTGGCAAAGGGACGTTCCGGCAGCCGTTTTCTCAACAGGTTAGTGAAGTCCTTGAACGCAGTCCTATTGATACATGGCGTGACGCTGGTACTGGGACATGTAGAATCGTCCAGTAACCCGACGGATCATGCCAGTCGGGAGACCTAAACTGCTAGCTAAACGAACCCAAGCAGAAAGGAGAAAGCAAAGAAAGAATATCCTCCTCGTCGATGCAGCAATCTCTGAACGGACGCAAGAGCGTTACTACATAGCTGTCAGGCGTTTGCTACCTGTACTCGAAAAGGTTAGATGCAATCAACAACTGGATGACATAGTTGCAGACTGGGTTGAGGCCCAGTGGGTTGCAGGTGAAACTTTGCATGTAGTATCTGACGCGTTGTGCGGACTACATCATTTTGAACCCTACACCAAAAAGTTGGCGCCCTCTGCTTGGAAGCTTTTTCGAACGTGGAGAAAATTAGAAGCTCCAAATCGAGCTCCACCACTGACAAAATACATCATTTATTCCATTGCTCATTACGCGTTGATGCATAATGATTTGATTTTTGGAGGCTTGTTATTGCTTGGCTTCTTTGGTTTGCTCCGCACAGGGGAGTTGTTGCTGGTCAAGCCGTGCAACATCCTACTCTCCAGGTCCCGGGCTATCATTACCTTAGAGACCACCAAAACAGGCAAACGGGATGCAGCCACTGAATCAATCACTCTGGAAGACATCTTTACTGTCGACGCCCTTGAACAGGTGTTACTGCTGCGGAACTCCCAAGGTTTATCAAAGGTCCCAATTTGGACCAACACTGCGCAGAACTTCAGAAACAAGTTCTCTTTTTACCTGAAAGTCTTTGATCTTCAAGCTCACTGTTTCAGACCGTATTCATTAAGACGCGGTGGAGCAACTCATGTTTTTCAAATTTCTGGCTCTATGGAGCTCACCCTCCTCAAAGGAAGGTGGGGATCATCACGTGTGGCCCGAATTTATTTACAAGATGGCCTGAGTTTCCTGCCGGGGTTGACTTTTTCAGCAAAGGCAAAATTTTTACTTGACAAGTGGAGACCCTTCAACGCAGAAAGCGTCGAGTAGGGGGTCATGGAGATGCTGTCTTCCAATGCGTTTTTCAGATGTTTTTCATTTTCTTGGGGTCTGCCATGACCCATCTTCATATGATACCAGAAAACTTTCCTGCCATGTAAAGGCCAAATTTGTCTTTCGAACCGTTGTGATGTGATTTGAGTTATGTGAACTTTTCCTGCCATGGAAAAGATATCAGGATCATTTTTGAATGCAGAATTTCAGAGGAAGCTGTGGCATTTTCACAGTTTGCAAAACCTCCCGCCTTTCGCTGGAGTCAAAAAGGTGCGCATGGATGCCTAGACTTCCTGGTAGAAGTTTAGGCTGAACATCGTACCTGACTCTCTGCGATATTTATCTCAAAGTCCAATTTCTTTTAGCCCGGCCTCACCCGCCTCTTGGGTGTGGACACGGAGATGCTGTTTTCCAATGCGTTTTTCAGATGTTTTTCATTTTCTTGGGGTCTGCCATGACCCATCTTCATATGATACCAGAAAACTTTCCTGCCATGGAAAGGCCAAATTTGTCTTTCGAACCGTTGTGATGTGATTTGAGTTATGTGAACTTTTCCTGCCATGGAAAAGATATCAGGATCATTTTTGAATGCAGAATTTCAGAGGAAGCTGTGGCATTTTCACAGTTTGCAAAACCTCCCGCCTTTCGCTGGAGTCAAAAAGGTGCGCATGGATGCCTATGTATATGTGTTCCTCCTTGTTATTTCAATATGAAAAGTCAAGATGTAACACTTAGCTCCTTAAACCTAAGGATGTCTTAGTGAATTTCTGTGCTACTCAATTTTCCTATATTTTTGAGGTTGTGGCTCAATGGCTCAATGTTGCGAATTTGTACGTACGTAATTTTACCCGCTAGATCCCCGCTAGCAGCTAGCAATGCGCTAGCAAAAGTTTCAAAAGATGGCTTTGGCTGACCCGTGGCCCAGTTGCCACCAGAGAACTTTTTTATCCGGTCTGTTTGACATCCAGGAACGACAAGCCCTGCAGCAGATGAAAAAACATTCCAGTTAGTTCTACCACGAATAGCTACCTGCGGCACCCACTTCATATAGACCTGCGTTAGCATTTGCTGCTGTTTTTGCTACGGCTTCAAACATGACAGATAAAATGCAGGGTTTCAGACTATATACTTAGAAAAGTCATAGTTTTAAAGACCAACCAAGAAGCGGCACGCAAGGAATTACGATTTATCAACCTAACCAGGAGGAGACATTTTGACAAACCGTCATGTGTAGATGCATACATGCATACCATGCATACTTGTATCAGTATGTCGACATCTTCCTTTGTTTCTTCCTCTTCATCCTCCTGGCCTTCAGCTTGGGGGCTGGACGGCCCCTTGTCCCAGGATCAAATATCATACGCACTTTTCGTTCCACGGCGATCTCTATCTGGTGATGGAACTTGCAACTGGTGGCACGCTGGCAAACCAAATTGAACAAGCTAACAAGACCCTTGGCAGCCTTTGTGACATGCTGAAGCAAGAGCGCATGGCACAACAATGCAGAAACGCAAACAAAGGTGGCCATGATGGCCTGTGCTTCCAGAGCTTGCATGGCTGCAACGGTGCTTTCAATACTGACAGGCAAAAGAAGCTGATTGAAGAGCACTTGGTATGGCGGTGGTTGAATGACGTATCCAGTGCCTTTGCTATTGCTTTTGCTGTTTCTCTATACTTCCATTGCTGCGAGTTGTGCCTGAGCTGGTTTGGTTGAGGTGCCCTGGCATACTTGCACAAGAGGCGGGTTCTCCACAGAGACGTAAAGCCATCCCACATCTTCATTGGCGAAACTGGCCAGGTGGCTTGGGCCGAACGGGGCAGACAGGAACAAATAAGAACAATGATGGAAAAGGAATGCGAAGAACTCCTGTGATCTCCTGTTGTCATTGTAGTCCAGATTTAATCATCGATATCATCGATCTTAAACAGTTCTGGTAGTGCAATCCGACATTTGGGACAAGGGTCTTCCCACAAAGGGCTTGATGTGTCGGCCAGGCCAAGCTGGGCGATTTCGGCTTGTCAAAGGCCTTCGGTGATTTGATCCAAAGATATTCAAAGAGCCAAAAAACATCAAAACCAAAGCATTGAATATGAACAAAACATAACAAAATGAACAAAGGACGTGTCAAATGTGTCAAGGGGTATCAGAACATCACAGAACCAAAGGCTTGTCTTGATGCAGAGTGTTCAGCGCACATCCGCTCAGCGCTTGGAGGCATTCTCCGATGCGACCACCTGCGCAATGTCTTGTGTTGGCACGCCGCATGACCCTCAGACTGTTTGACACGCTCTATAACGCTGTGACCAGCTCTGTGAGTAGCATGCAATCTGAATTCGAGTGATCCTGGCTCAGGCTATATATGTCTCCTGAAATTGTCCGCGGTGAGGGCTACTCTTTCGGCCATTCGATTGCATTGCAGAGTTGAGCGCATTATATCACCGCTTTGTCCTGCCTCGTTCGCTCAATTAGCCTGGTTCCTTGTGGAACGGATTGTTTGTTCAGGCTCTGACATCTGGAGCCTGGGTTGCTCCCTCTACGAACTAGCTGCCGGTGTGCCACCATTCTATCGCACAGACACCTGGCAAGTCACATGCTCAGCATGGCTATTCTTCGCGAGCTAGTTACTGAGTGCGCTTGCGAAAATTGGGCTGCTAGACAATTGATGCATCATATCTCAATTTATCTCATGTCAATCCTCTCTGCGCTGTAGCGGCGCTCTAGTTAAGCAGCATCGTAAAGAAATTGCAATATTATTGTCGTGAATCCTAACTCTGATAAGACACAATGGACGCTGTGGAAAGCAAGCAGCGCTCAACACGCTTAACAAAAGATGGAAAGACGACGCAATAATATATATATATATAAATTGCCATTTACTGTAGTTGTCCAAGTTGTCTATAGCGGCTTTTGCGGTTTTTCATTTAGCCACATAGATTGGCTGATATGTAATCAGCTAGATGGGTTGGCAAAGTTTCAGCCAGAGCTTGGCCAGGAAGATGTGGAAGAAATGGGTAAGAAGGAAGACTCGCAGATGGACACAGTAAATCAGAGTAATAAACGCAAGGAAGGAAGGAAGGAAGGAAGGAAGGAAGGAAGGAAGGAAGGAACACAAAAGGAAGGAAGGAAGGAAGGAATACAAAAGGAAAGATGGAAGGGAGGAAATGATGCATGCATGCTGCATGGAAGCAAGGCTGTGCGTACGGTTAGATGGATAATAATCGGATATATAGAATTGATGGGCACAGAGATGCAGAGACAAATGGATGGATGGATAGATAGGTTAGATATCTTGCATGCATATGGGTGGGTAGTTGGTATCTAGAACCATTGATGAATGCGGGGATAGATGAATGGATGGGCGGACTGGACAGAAGGACGGATCTTGATGATACCTTGGATGGCTGGTAAAGATGCATGCCTCTGCCTTTGTGTGCACATTTGGAATCATCCAGACATGTACGCAAATGTGTTACTCATGTAACTCATGTACCTAGGTTTGTGCTACATGTGTGTTGAACTATAGGCATACTGACATACATACTGTAAAAAATGTGTGATTGTTCATCGTATGTAGATGTGAATGCACACACACACACATTGAAGTACAGCCATCTATTCTATATGCAGCGTTGTGTACGCATTGCATTGCAGAATGCTGCATCGTATAACATCACATTACAGATGGGCCTGCACATATACATAGACATGCCCCTATCGTGTGAAGATTTCTAGAAGATAGCATTTTGATACTCTCTACTTGACCTGTCAAGCAACAGTTTGCGCAAAAAGGGCCAAAGTCTCAGGATACAGACTTCGTTGCCTTGGGTCATGCCATTTGCTCTGCAGAGTATCCTGAGCTGCCTTCAGTGTCTTGGCATAAGCACCATGGTATTTACTTACTTCACATTCGCTGGCCACAATTTTGCTTCGGGGGCTGATTTGCCTTCTTTGGTGCATGCCATTGAGCAGCATGTCGGAAGGATCGCTACATTTTTTTTGGTTGTTTCGCCGTGCCGAGGATGTGTGGTCGAAAGACTTTCTGAGCATAGTCTCTCAGATACTGACGTTGGATCCGACACAGCGCCCTTCAGCGCAGATGATATTCGATCTGGCGGGATGCAGGCCATCTCAGCCAAACTCAGCCATTAGGGCATATTTTGGTTCAGTCAAGTTGAGTCTGCTCATGTTTAATATTTATATACTACATTTTCATCCTTTTCCTGGAGCTTTTTTTTAAAACGCAAGTTTAGAGGCCGTTCATGTGAACTGCTTCTTTGTCCACAGAGGCTAATGCCTCGAATCCATGATTTCGAGATCATTGGCGCCATCGGCCGCGGGCAATTCTCCGAAGTGCATCGGGCACTTTGGAAGGCTGGAGGTGACCGTGTCTTGGTCGAATACGGTGGAGGAAAACAGGTCAAAATGGCACTTTGTAGTACTTTGTAGCATGGCCAGCAACATGAAGGTTTCTGCCTGCTCAGGTGAAGTGGCTCTTAAGCGTATTCAGACGCTTGTTTGACACTGAGTCAGTTTGTCATAGTGTGCGTCTATAGATCGCTTTCCTGACGTGTTGTGGGCTTTGGGCTTTGCACGCACTTTCATGGGGATGCAGATGCACCAGGCGAGTGAGCTCCAGGCTAGGTTAGTCGGAGATAGTTTGAACATGTTGAATATTAATATTGCAAGTACCTAAACACATAGCGTGTACATAAGTGGCACTCAAACCTTGTTTTCTCCTATCCAGCTGGTAGATTTAACCATACTTAGCTGTTTCCTTCGCAGCTACCTTTTTTAACCTCAAACTTCGAGACGTAGCGACGAAATACGGGCGGCCGAGTGAGGAGGTTGAGAACGTGAACTTGGAGGGCTGAACCTTGCCAGGTTATGAGCCCAACACTCTGAGAAAGCAAAACCCCCTAAAGAAGACCGACATTGAAAAGGAGCTCTTCGGCATGTTTGCTAGAAGGAGGGCAACTGACGCTGAGCTACGACAAGGTGAAGACGAAATGAGACGTTCCCAAAGACGTCTTGACTCTGAGCTTGCAAGTGGAACTGAGCCGCAGTTAGAATGTGAGGGAAAGAAGAAAAGAAAAGACGAGTAAAGATTTTAAGAGTGACTGAAGAAGAAATGAGAAGAATGGTGGAGGATGATGCGGAGTTGGCCTTGGAAGAGCTTCAAATCCTTTCGAAGCTGAAGAAGTTGGCAGTCATGCCAAATGAGGAAATCGCACCTCCCCGAGAAGTGGCTGAAAACTGGGAAGAATGGCTTCTTTCAGTTCGCAGTGAAGTTGAGTCCCTGTTGAACGAAAAAGAAGCTTTTCGTGAAGTATTTCCAGAAGAACTTCAAAACTTAAAGAAGATGCAGAAAAGAAAGGAAAGGGGATCGAATAAATATATCCCGTCCAAGCTGGTAAAAAGAAAATACGGTGGGTGGCATGCGGAAATTTGGAACCCCGCCGTGAAGAAGAAGAAGACAATTTCAGTAGTGGAGCTGATGCTTCAGGTCTTCGCATCCTGGTCTGGGTAGCTGCCCGTGGCCAATGGTGTGCAACAACTCTTGATGTGAGAACAGCTTTTCTTAATGCCAAGATGGTCCAGTCAGAGGACGAAGGCTTGCTGTTGTTGAAGCCCCCATACCTCTTCACTGAGATGAAGTTCCTGCGGAAGGATGTCCTCTACAAGCCTGAGAAAGCCATCTATGGCTTCCGTCGATCTCCAAAATTGTGGGGTTTGACGAGAGATGAAACTATCAATGGTTTTGACATTGAGGGGGAGCATGAAGGGAAATCCATGAACTTTGTCCTCGAGCCTCTTCAATCTGAACCAAACCTATGGAAGTTGCAAAATGCTGACGATGAAGATGACCTGACGGTTTATGGGCTCTTGATGACATACGTGGACGACCTATTGATTGCAGCTCCAGAACCTCTTATGTTGGCCGTCCAGAACAAGATACGATCAACTTGGACTACGTCAGTTCCTGAGCCAGTATCCAGCACTCCGGTATGTTTCCCTGGAATGGAAATCTCTAAACTCTGCGACGCAGAGACCACAAGAGATGTTTGGATGCTGACACAACAAAGTTATACACCTGACTTGGTCCAGAAGGAGAATGAAAACGTAAAGCCGAAGAAGATTCCACTGTCACGAGATCAATCCGTGATGGAACCAAATGAGAAGTCACCTTCGATCGAAAAAGTTCGATCAGCTCAGAAAGCTGTGGGTGAAGCCTTGTGGCTTACAACAAGAGCGAGGCCAGACATCATGTACGTTGTCTCTAGGATGGGCTCTGCTGTTACGAGGGCCCCAGAAGCTGTGATGTTGGCTAGCACCCAACTCAAAGGCTATCTGGCCACCACTGCTGCTGAAGGCTTGAAGTTCGATGTAAAAGAAAACGAACTTCCTGTGTTGACTGTCTACACGGATGCTTCCTTTGCCCCTGACTCTGAGGAATCCCATGGCTCTTTCATAGTCCTTCCTTCTGGGATCATCTCCAATCTTTTGGAGGTCAGGCAGACAGGGTTTGTAACTCTGTCTACGGCCGAAGCAGAACCCACTGAAATCATTGAAGGCATGATCGCTGGAGAAAGTATCCACGTGATCTTAGCAGAACTTTTCCCTGAAGTTCCAAAAGTTGTCAAGACCGACAACACGCCTGCCCTTGCCATATTCACAGGCGATGGAAGAAGCTGGCGCACTCGACATTTGAAGCAGAGAGCAGCCTTTGCAAGGCAAGCTGTGGCTGCAGCTGAGTGGGCGATCCAACATGTCCCTGGTGAATCAATGGTGGCCGACGTTGGAAGAAAGCCATTGGCTGCTGCGTGTTTGAACTTCCTCAAGAACCTCATGGGCATGGGAAAGTTTTGCGACCCAAATGAAAATGAAGTCGAAATGGAAGAGAAAGAGGAGAAAAGATGAAGGAAAAAGAAGAAAAGAAGGATGACCGATTGGCCAGCAAAGAGTTGAAAAGGCTTGCGCAAACAAAGCAAGTGCTGCAGCTCATCACTTTGGCTGCAACTCTTTCTGTTTCAAAAGCGGAAAAAGGAGAAGAAATTGAAGCGGATGGATCCTTTTCTTTTGAGATTATTGTGATCTACACCCTTCTGGTTATCTTTCTCACTCTGGTGGCACAGCATTTATTGGATGCTGCAGTACGGGGAGCCGAATTAGTCATGCGGCAGTGTGTTTTTCGGGCTCAACCTGGAAGTCACGCCGATGATGCTGTGGAGGAAAATGAGCCATCTCAAAGAGATCGCCCTGAACCTCTGGTGAAAGAAAGCTCTGCCGCCACGGGGGAAGAAGACCCAGAACGTGTTGATCCGCTACCAGTTCAACATGATGCTCTGAGATCAACTATGAGTGCTCCGCAACCAGATCCAGAACCAGAAAGCCCAAGACCAACAAGTTCACAATCTACCGACCTCACAAATGTATTGGCTGCCTTGCGAGTACATGACGCATCGATTTCCAGACTATGAAGCAGAGTGGAGAGAGATTGAACAGGAAGAACGATTGGTACGGGAGGAGCTTACTCAAGCTCTTCCAGGTGACCCTCTTCTTGGACCTCTTCAGCCTCAAACTCTGCGACGCAGAGACCCAGCGCCGGCATTACCAGAACTTCCATTTAAGGTGATCACCACGCGCTATGGAACGGTGTATCATACGCGATATAACTGCCATTTTCTGACTGCGCCAACAACTGGACCGACGACGTTTCATGGATGGTGTAATCAGTGCCGTGATGAATCAGCCCAGACTGGAAGAATTCCTGGGCCTGGCGCTACGATACTTCTGGCGGGATTACATTCGTATGCCAATGCCGATGTAACTTGCAGCCGTGCTGAGGGAGCCCGTAGTTTCTCAATTTGTACATCATGCCTAGATGGCACATAGGGCAGCTTGAGCTGGAACCTGTAAAGGTTGAAGCTCCTTTCGCAAGCTTCCAAGGGGGAGTGCAAGTACCTAAATACATAGCGTGTACATAAGTGGCACTCAAACCCTGTTTTCTCTTGTCCAGCTGGTAGATTTAACCATACTTAGCTGTTTCCCTCGCAGCTACCTTTTTAAACCTCAAACTTCGAGACGCAGCGACGAAATACGGGCGGCCGAGTGAGGAGGTTGAGAACGTGAACTTGGAGGGCTGAACCTTGCCAAATATTATTAATGGCAAGTCCGGATTAATAAATCAAAAGATTGGAAAGGATGTCAATTGACACCAATGTAATTTCAATTGATCTTTCCGTTTGAACCTACCAGAAATCTAAAGACTAGTGAGGATTTTAATTGATTTCAATCTACTTTCAGTGGTTTCTCGTTGAAACCAAAAAGACATCTAAAGGGGTCAAGGAGGTTGATAAATTAGGGGAAGCCATGCCATTATTTGGGCGGGACATGGGCTCATGAGGGGCACCTTTTGGAAGCTTCTCAAAGTGATGGTTTTTAAATGGAATTTGATTAATAAAGAAATTGATCGTTTGGGAAATCAGTGATTTTTTGAATTTTAACAAGAATTTGGTTTGAACCAAGACTGCAAGACCGAGTCCGTGATTGCAAAGTCACAAGTCTGTGACTGCAAAGTCACAAAAAGGCTGGTGCCAATGCAACAAAGTAATTAATTACTCAACTCGTATGATTGTAGTTAGCATTGAGCCAACAGAACCTATGGGGAAATCTCTGTCAGAGGTTTGTCAGAGTCAAAACTCTGTGTGACCCTTGAAAGGAGCGGTGTTCAAAAGCATGTGACTGCATGTGACAAAAAAGGATTTTCTCTGTGGGGGTTGATTAATCGGTGGGGGGTACACCCCCCGGTATATTAATCACCATTTTAGTATTGCCCGGACATTTTTCTTGCGTTTGATTATTTAATCCCTAGTGGTTTAATACTCCTAACTTGACATTGCTTGCTTTTCCACCAGACATGTGCTCCATGTCTCTATGTCACATGCGATATCATGTGTGAGCTTGCAGTGATCAAATCAGATGATTAGAGTAGGGGATGCCGAGGGATTGATTGCATTCCCCTCGTGCTGCAACTGTGCCATCCAATGCCCAACCCTGGGGCAGCGGTGCTGGACTCAGGATTGATGAGATGAACGACTATGCCAGACGTGAGGTCTATGCCGAAGCGAAGATCTTGCAAGAGTTATCCCACCCGACCATTATCAAATACTTTGCCGCTCATGCATGTTGATGGCTGCCGTACGGTTCCTGCAATCCTGCTGGTATTTATGGATGTTTTTTCTGTTTGAGCACATCTTGGCGCACTTCCATTTCTAAGTTGGTTGAATCTGGGGCCATGTTTGAAGCACTGTTCTCCACTTAGGATTCTTTTACAGAGGATAGTGAGATGGTCATCATTCTGGAGTTGGCGGCTCACGGTGATCTATCCAGCCTTTTGAGTGGCTCAGTTTGCAGAATTGGTGCCTAGTCATGGGAGGCACTCAGCACAAGTAAGAAGGCAATAACAATCATAGAACTTCCAATAGCGCGCACGCGCACAAACGCGCACATATTTACTGTATGTATATCAGTATATCTGTATGTTCATACTCTTCTTGCAAAGGATGACAAGGATATTCCAGAAACCGATCCTCTGCATTTAAGCAAGGGTACAGATTGAACTGCCCGTAGGCAGGCTGAAGCACAACGAACGCTTGCTGCAAGAACATCAGGCCTCTGACTTTGGGCATTGATTTATAAGGAGAATGCTGCATTTCGCCTAGACTTTGTTATGCAAACGTTGCGATATTTTTAAACAGAAAGGCTTGTTGCCAGCGCCGGAACTGTTATACATAATTATGAATTTGTGGTGTAAAATATGGCAGTTTCGCGCTGTCAACAACCTCTTGTTCATTGTGCATGGTTGTGGTTTCCAAATCAGCAAAAAAACAAAAAAACAAAAAACACACACAAAAAAAACAAAAATTACAATAATTCAAGACTACTGGGATCAAGGTTATGTATAAACTAGTACCAGAACATTGCTTTGTTTTTGTTTTTTGGTTTTCATGATGTAGGATTAATCCAGATTAATCCAGGTTTATCTTGATCACTTAGATTTAATTCTCATGAGCCATGTGTTGTACCCAAGTTTTCGTGGTGTGTCTGCGGTTTTGACTAGGATAGTAATACAAGGTGTGAAACCACCAAGTGTTTGTATATATTGTATATTCATTGTTTTTTGTCGGTATATTACATGATCTGAAGTAATGTTTGTTTTTTGTTGTCCATGCGCAAGACGTTTCTATTAGAACTACAGACAGGCTGGTTGTGGAGGCGCAAAAGGCATTTTTTCCCCAAATGCATTACATGGTCTAAAACAATATTGGTCTTTTCTAGTGGAAATAGAGCTTAGGGTGGTTAACCACCCAAAACGAAACCAAAACGAAACCAAAAAAACAACAAAAAACAACAAAAACAACACAAAACAACAAAAAACAACAAAAAACTAGACGACGGATGGCCCGAGAGCGTAGAGGAGCAGGGTCTTCTCTTGTTAGTATGGAGATGCAATTTTAGAAACGATATATGAAAGCTGTGTTATAGGCAGTCGAGAAGAGGAGTATCAAGACAAAATAGTGAGAAGTGCAAGACAATAGTTTGCATCGCAAACACTTTTACACACAGACGCTTTTACACTGACGCTATTACACACAAAGCTTTTACCCACAGAAGCTTTTACACACAGAAGCTTTTACATACAGAAGCTTTTACACACAGAAGCTTTTACATACAAACACTTTTACACACAGACGCTTTTACACACAAACGCTTTGACACACAGACGCTTTTACACACAGACGCTTTTACACACAGACCCTTTTACACACAGACGCCTTTACACACAGACACTTTTACACACAGACGCTTTTTACACACAGACACTTTTTACACACAGACGCTTTGACACACAAACGCATTTACACACTTTTTACACACAGACGCTTTTACACACAGACGCTTTTACACACAGACCTTTTACACACAGACGCTTTTACACACAGACGCTTTTACACACAGAACGCTTTTACACACAGACGCTTTTACACACAGACGCTTTGACACACAGACGCTTTTACACACAGACGCTTTTACACACAGAGACTTTTACACACAGACGCTTTTACACACAGACGCTTTTACACACAGACGCTTTTACACACAGACGAAAGGGTTGCTCCGGCACAGGAAAAATCGCAATTTTACCTCAGTTTCTACCGATCGACCATCATTTCGTGCGAAAGGGTTGCTCCGGGGCAAGTAAAATCGCAATTTTACCTCAGTTTTTGCCGATCGACCTTCATTTCGCGCGAAAGGGTTGCTCCGGGGCAAGTAAAATCGCAATTTTACCTCAGTTTTTGCCGATCGACCTTCATTTCGCGCGAAAGGGTTGCTCCGGGGCAAGTCAAATCGCAATTTTACCTCAGTTTTTGCCGATCGACCCTCATTTCGTGCGAAAGGGTTGCTCCGGGGCAAGTCAAATCGCAATTTTACCTCAGTTTTTGCCGATCGACCCTCATTTCGTGCGAAAGGGTTGCTCCGGGGCAAGTCAAATCGCAATTTTACCTCAGTTTTTGCCGATCGACCCTCATTTCGTGCGAAAGGGTTGCTCCGGCACAAGTCAAATCGCAATTTTACCTCAGTTTTTGCCGATCGACCCTCATTTCGTGCGAAAGGGTTGACGTTTCGTGACTCGCCGCCGGCACCACCCTCGGCCTTAAGAGAGAAAGATAAAAAGAAGGCGTGAGAGAGAAGGTGAGCAGGTGTGAAGATAAGAAGATGTGAAGATGAGCAGATGTGAAGATGAGCAGATGTGAAGATGAGCAGATGTGAAGATGAGCAGATGTGAAGATGAGAAGATGTGAAGATGAGCAGATGTGAAGATGAGCAGATGTGAAGATGAGAAGATGTGAAGATGAGGAAGATGTGAAGATGAGCAGATGTGAAGATGAGCAGATGTGAAGATGAGCAGATGTGAAGATGAGCAGATGTGAAGATGAGATGAGCAGATGTGAAGATGGGAAGGTGTGAAGATGAGCAGATGTGAAGATGAGAAGATGTGAAGATGGGAAGGTGTGAAGATGAGCAGATGTGAAGATGAGCAGATGTGAAGATGAGAAGATGTGAAGATGGGAGGATGTGAAGATGAGAGGATGTAAAGATGAAAAGATGTGAAGATGAGAGGATGTGAAGATGAGCAGATGTGAAGATGAGAGGATGTGAAGATGAGAGGATGTAAAGATGAAAAGATGTGAAGATGAGAGGATGTGAAGATGAGATGTGAAGATGAGAGGATGTGAAGATGAGAGGATGTGAAGATGAGCAGATGTGAAGATGAGAGGATGTGAAGATGAGAGGATGTAAAGATGAAAAGATGTGAAGATGAGAGGATGTGAAGATGAGATGTGAAGATGAGAGGATGTGAAGATGAGATGTGAAGATGAGAAGATGTTTGACAGACCCCCACTATTGGAAGCACCCTGCGCTCAGACGCTCTCGGGAACAACAAAAATCAACAAAAAACAACAAAAAGCAACAAAAAACAACAAAAAACAACAAAAAACAACAAAAAACAACAGAAAACAACAAAAAACAACAAAAAACAACAAAAAGCAACAAAAAACAACAAAAAACAACAAAAAAAAACAACAAAAACCAACAAAAAACAACAAAAAGCAACCAAAAAACAACAACAAAAAACAACAAAAAGCAACCAAAAAAAACAACAAAAAAAAACAAAAAAGCAACGAAAAAACAACGAAAAAACAACGAAAAAACAACAAAAAACAACAAACAACAACAAACAACAACAAAAAACAACAAAAAACAACAAAAAACAACGAAAAAACAACGAAAAAACAACAAAAAACAACAAAAAACAACAAAAAACAACAAAAAACAACAAAAAAACAACAAAAAACAACAAAAACAGCAAAAAACAACAACAAACAACAACAAACAACAACAAACAACAACAAACAACAACAAACAACAACAAACAACAAACAACAACACACAACAACACACAACAACAAAAAACAACAAACAACAAACAACAACAACAAACAGACAGACAGACAGACAGACAGACATACAGACAGACAGACAGGCAGGCAGGCAGGCAGGCAGGCAGGCAGGCAGGCAGACAGACAGACAGACAGACAGACAGACAGACAAGACAGACAAGACAGACAAGACAGACAAGACAGACAAGACAGACAAGACAGACAAGACAGACAAGACAGACAAGACAGACAAGACAGACAAGACAGACAAGACAGACAAGACAGACACGACAGACACGACAGACAGGGCAGACAGGGCAGACAGGGCAGACAGGACAGACAGGACAGACAGGACAGACAGGACAGACAGGACAGACAGACAGACAGACAGACAGACAGACAGACAGACACAGACAGACACAGACAGAGACAGACAGAGACAGACAGAGACAGACAGAGACAGACAGAGACAGACAGAGACAGACAGAGACAGACAGAGACAGACAGAGACAGACAGAGACAGACACAGACAGACACAGACAGACACAGACAGACACAGACAGACACAGAACAGACACAGACA